GGAAAGGGAGAAAGGGATTGAGCATGAAAGAGAGAAAAGGAGAGGGGGCAAGATGGAGGGGGAAGGAGAGAGGGCTAGAGAAAGTGGGGGCGAGGAGGAAGATAGTGGGAGAAAAGGAAGCAAGAAAAAGCGAAGTTATTCTAAGTTGTCCTAAGTACTCTGTCTCTGGTTGAGTTCTAGTTACTTTCCCCAGGCATTCCATGTTAAGACAACAGGAAGTGGCCATTAGTCCTGTGAAACAGAAAGCCCTCACTGGGATTCTTGTGGTAACTGGAACACGCGATCCACTTTTGGAAGTGTTAGGGAACAGTTCACACTGAGATGAATAGCTGACTAAGCATTTCAAGTCATGTCTTCAAGGTTGCTAAAACAAAATCAGCACTTGTCTTATCTTGAAACCTTCCTATTCTCCAGTTATCAAGGCACACTGGGAAAGAGCTGACAGGACATTCCCTTCATACTCAACGAAGGAAAATTGAAGGTGGGTGGGTGGCTTTTTAGTTGATAAAAATAAGCCAATTTCTTAAAAGTCGTCTTTTAAATTATAGCCAGACGATGAAATACCATGCTTGAACTAGATGGATAAAATAAAGAGCACGCAAATAAAACAGGGCCGCATGGCATTCATGGTGACTGTGCACACAGTGGTGGAGAATGAGGTAGATGCTTCCTGCCCGAAGCACTCCCTCCTTGAAAACTACTTTCTACAGCTTTGTCCTAAAGCAAAAGCAGCAAGCCATTGTGTGTCACCAAACAGGCAAGTTCTCAATTATCAAAATTTCATCAGTCTTACTATATAAAAAATAACAGAAATAAGACAAACAAAAAGTGGCTGCATTTACAACATTTGTATGTGCTTCAAATCCTACATATTCAAGATACAAATAGCTTGAAAATGTTTGTTTTCACCTCTTAGGTGAATGTGTAACACTGGGGCCTTGTTCTTGACTTTAAATTTATACTCATCTCTCTGGAGGACTTGTCTGAACAGAAGCCACTTCAGCAATGAAGGGTTTATATTGGCTTAGAGTTGAAAGGGATATAGTCCATTATGGTTGAGAAGGCATGGCCACCAATGTCTTAAGGCAGCCATCACACTGTATCCCTAGTAAGGAATCACCAAGGATAGGAAGGACAGGAAGGACAGGATGTGGGTCTGGGAAATCAAACCTCAAGGCCCAAGTCATCCTAGCAAGCCTCCAACTCTTAAAGGTTCCATGACCTTCCAAAAGGACATCAACTAAGGGCCAAGTGTCCAACCACCAGCTCATCAGTGAAACTTCACATTCAAACTACATGCCTTTTCTATTTCTGAAAATCTTTATTGTAATTTTTCTATGTAATTTTAATTCATTTTTTTAACAGTTTCCAGTATAGGTTGTATTCAGTAAGGCGTTTCCAACTACACTAACCATTAGACAAGGAACTATGGACAACAGCCTGTCTTCAGTGTCTTGTTGGGGTCCTTTAGAGTATGTGATTGTGGACTGTGAAAATGTCACACTGAGGATCTTCATCTAACATACGGCTATAAATAACAGGTTCAGAATTGCCAAAAGACACAGATTTAGAATAACTTTTATTTCAAAGACAAAGCAAGTAAGAATATGTAAGAAATGAAGTCAAAATAGGTATGACTACTGGCACTGCTCCCCATCAATGCCTTAACAATATTCAATTTTTAATACCACAATATTTATGTATTTTGAGGTTAAATTTCTGTATCAAAATAAAGGAAGAAAATCTGTTTTCTGCTATTTGAACACAGCATGTTCCATACCTGGGTTCTGGTAATAATTCTAGGAAAGTACAAGGAACACAACCTTACCAGAGAATCATAAAAGATAAAAACATCACACTTTGTATATTAAAAGCCCTCTAGACGAGCTGTCCTCATCAGGGTTTCCATCGCCATTAAGAGTCATCATGACCATGACAACTCTTAGAAAACATTTAATGGTGTGGTTTATAGTTTCAGAGGTCTAGCCCATTATCATCATGGTGTGACATGGTGCTGGAGAAGGAACATCATCTTTGGATCCAAATTCTACATTCTGACCTTCAAAGGCAACAGGAAGAGAACTGAGACACTGGGCCTGACTCAAGCATGTATAAGACCTCAAAGCCCACCCCCACAGTGAAGCACTTCCTCCAACAAGACCATACCTACTCCAACAAAATCACACCTCTTAAAAAGGCGTCTTCCTATGAGCTTATGGGGGGCCAATTCCATTCAAACTACCACACTAGCTCTCAAAACATCTTGCAATGATGAAACACTTTTCAAGCAGTTTTCCTTAGGATCAGTCAAGGATTTAACTGATACCAAGAAGCTAGACCCATGGCCTCTTCCAAGTGTGAACATGTGTGAAGGTGAGGGCATATGAGCATCCTTATCTGTGGACTGGTCCTGGCCTCCATTCCAACCCCACCTGAAACCAAACTCCAGGACACTCACATGCAAATATAACACAGTAGGTTCATATCATCTACACACACTCTCCTGCACTCAAGTTAATCTCCAGATTGCCAGGAATCCCAAACATAATGCAAATACTACATACATGGTCTGTGTAAGAATGTTTATGTTTCCAAATGCTTTTTATCTATTGATGGTTGCGTCTGAGGATACCTTTGAAACTCACATATAGAGGATTCGTTTTCAGGACATGTACATACAAGCATTTGCACGTGAACATATATGCACACACATCTATGCAAAATTTATCTAGAATGTATTTCTATAATTAAAGTTTCTGTAGGTCTTGGAGATATGTTTCTCTTTAATTTTTACAAACACTGGTAGAATGGTCAGCTCGCAGATGTTTATTTTGGAAGCTATTGACACAGACCAACATTAGCAGATAGAAATAACTAAATTTTATTACTGTCAGCAAATAAGCGAATTATATGTTTCACATGGCTGATGATAAGACTTAATCATACTATATACAAATCTAAAATGAAATAAAAGGTTACTTAAGTATTGTTATAAGTAATTGCAGGTATTTTTTAAAGATATTAAAGTTTGATTTGCCACGGAATATGTGGAATTTGTCTTAGGCACAAACATGTAAAGTGTAACATTAACCACGGTGTCTCCATTAACTAAAGTGCCTCTGTGCGTTTCAATTTTTTCCTTGCAGTGTTAGGAGTTCAAAGCAATTACTCCTAATAAAAGAGGTTTAGTCAACTCGCCAAGCCTTTCACGCAAATACACTCATTCCCTAAGTCTCTACCATCCCCCTAGATTTATCATGGTGATGCACATTATACAGGAAAGGCCACAACTTACTTGGCCTTAGTCTCTATTAAAGAAGCAAACAGATTCTCTACAGATGAGTTTTCCCTGAACACTAAAGGTTCCAGTTTCACATGAGTGAAACACGATGAGCAAATATCCTCTATTCTGGCCATAACACATTTAAAAAAAAAAATTAAGTCAAATGTCAACAAGTTAGTTTTTCCCCTAGTGTTCTTCATAGCAAACTTGAGGGAAGAGCAATTCTGGATACTGGGCCACTATTTTAGAACTAAATTATGTGTAGTGGGAGAAGTGCAACGAGGCCAGACTGGACTGCATGACATGTGTGTGAACACATAATGTTATAAGAACAGAGCACTTGGCTCATTACAGGCATGGCAGAGGCATCATGCGTATATGCAGCCACAGTACAGAAGGTATTTCAGATTGTTTCATCCCAATTGTCATCAGCTTATCTAGACCCTCTTTACAATGATGGAAACCTGGGAAAGTCAAATGTCCTCCAAAGTGGCCTTCCCAATTAGACTGTATCTTTTCCCTAATCTTGTGCACGCCACTGCCATGCTACACTTGCTAGAAGGTGCTTTTGCCACATAACACTGCCTCGGGAATCCACAGTAATTCAGTGAATCTTCTAAACTACACTGTCGCTGGTCCAGAATTTCAGGACAAGCAGGTCTTTCTCCTACTATACTCAGTCCAACCCAAATCCACTTTTGCTGTCTAAGATGAAATGTGCACAATAGGAAATATTAATTTTAAGTGTGAATTGAATGAGCTTTGGTAAATGCACATGCTTTAGAAGCCCCTCCCCCGCAAAGATCTAAAACATTAGTAACCCTAGGCCTCAATCCAACTCTGTACACAATCGTCCACCTTTTCAGAGCCTTATACTTGTCTTTCAAAGCTTCCCTGAAGCCATTCCTTCCTCAAAGCATGCCTCTCAGTGAACTCCCACCGTGGGCTTCTCACAAGTCCTTCTGTCTCTATTCTGAAGCCCTCTGCCCCAAATATTCATCTGTGGTTATCAGAATGATCTTCCAACGTTATAAACCGAATCAGCTCACTCTTTCCCACTCACAAGCCCATGACTTAAGAGCACAGTGGCAGTAAGTCCAATGCCCTTTCCCGTAGCCTTCCTTCTCTGACCCCATTTCTTGCTACTTCCCTCACTTCCTCTGTACAGGTCACATGATCCTTCTATCAGGTCCTTATCATAATTTCAAGATGCTGCAATGATTATTTCCTGCTCATGTTCTTGTCACTCAGGTCTCAGCTGTGGTCAGCTTTTGCCAGAAGCTCCCTTGTCAAGAAGCTCTACAGACCGCTCAGTTACTCTCCAGCACAAACACTAACTGGCTAGCCTCTACTGCTGCTTTGCCTGTTCTTTATGTCTTTGCTACGTATCTCTGATGACAAGAACAAATCTCCATGACTACGGCATCAGTCAACAGTGTTCACAGCTGCTAAGTCCCGTGCCTAGGATAGTTACCATCTTGCCACAAGTAAACGCTCAACAATTGTTTTCTACATAATAAGGAAGCATATAACACATAAAGTACATCCACACTGGGGATGGAAGATGTGCCTGCTGCCCTAATACACGATCTTGAAATATCAAAGGCATAAGAAGGCTATTGTCAGTACTGCCACAAGATAAATCTAGTACAGGGAAAAAGAAAACAAAGAACTGACCTTTAAGTTGCAGCAAAAACAACACAAAACACAGGTAATGTCAAAGTTTATTCACATAAAGTTTAATCAGTCAAGTTAATGAAAATATCAAAAATTTTGAGTTAGTTATGGCAGCAGAAATGTAAGTTTTGTTGCAGATAACACACATTTGGCATTTCTGTCGAGAAGCTATGCTGCCGAGAGAGCAATTGCATTAAACCTTAACTCATCGGGGTCACGCTCCATGAACTTCTTGCACACTTCTATGGCATCCTATGGGAGAAAAGTATAGGTTTTCAATTTGTAGATTCTTTATGTTTCTAATTTACAGTAATTTTATACCGAAGACTTCTTTTTTCAATATGAAATAAAAACTAAAAATGTCAAAGAATAAAAATAAAATAAATAAATAAAACTAATTTGATTAGCATAAAATACAGCAAATCCTGTTACCACATTCCCCTGCCTGCTTCCAGGACTGAGGGTCAAATCCAGAATCTTGGCAAGCACTTTCCTGAAGCCCTGCCCCCTCTCCATTTTCAGAGTCTCACCAAGTAGTTCTGGCTGATCTTAAACTCACTCTGCAGTCAGGCAGGTCAATTCCCATTCCTCTTTTCTAATTTTTCCAAGTAGCATAGTTATTAATCTCTCCATGAAAACCAGCTGATGAATATCCTTCCTTGAGGTGACTTTTGAAACCTTTTAACCCATGAGGCATGATAACACAGTCTTTAATCATTGGTAGGCAGAATTCTGTGAGTTCAAGGCCAGCCTGGTCCACACAGCCAGTTTCCAGGCTAGCCAGTGTTGTCTACATAATGAGACTCTGTCTCAGAACTCAACAAAACTCAAAAAAACAACTTTTAACCTGAAAATTCCATAATTCCTTGATGCTAAGCCATACAACTTGTTCCCATTAAAGAACTCTGAAATCAGGGATCAAGTCACGACTAATGTATCTTGGCTTTAACAGAATATGACCTATGAATAAGCAACTCATTTTAATCTGTTCAAGTTCAGTTTGCTCACGCAGAGCTCTGGTAGCCGCCTCTTGCTTGCATAGTTTTAAGACTGATTCAAGATTTTGTGTGGGGATTTTCTAAAAAGATCAAGGACCAAGAAGCATCCACAAGAGGAAAAAAAAAAAAACAGTCAATATAGAGTCCAAAAGGTCAGAAAAGGCTAAAGCAGACCAGTTCTTTTACTGTTACCTCTAACAACGTCTCATCACTAGTTTTCCCGTGGTTGATTGGAAATGGTTTCCGTCCATCTGTGGAAGACAAACAAACAGGTAAATTCTTGTTTTTACCAGAGAATATATCTTACCTTCCATTTCCTCTCCTACAGTGAATCAAGGAGAGGTACATAGTTTAAGTACTATATCTTAAAACAAGGATTTTTAAATATGTAACCTATAGCTTTAGCTTCCACCAAATATTAACAGTTAGTATAATTAAACCATCCACATTTCAAGTAACTACGCATTTGGAGTAACACCGACCCAGAGCAGCAGCCGTCTCCATATCCGAGTTTCTTCATTTCAACAGGTACTTTACATGAGTGGGGCTTCTCTGGGTTACTGCTTGATGGTTCCCTGGCATTTACAGTACACATTTTAACTGGGATATGTTTTCTGCTTTGTGTATAGGTCCCTACAAAAAAGAATTCCCAATTGGCCTATAATAAATTCCTCCCCGCCCCCCGAGACAGGATTTTTCTGTGTAGCCCCGGCCATCCTAAAACTCACTGGCCATCCTGGAACTCAGTGATGTGCCTGCTGGGATTAAAGGCACATGCCTCCACTGCCCAGTATGATTTTCACTCTTAAAGAGACAAATACTTTTTAACTTCAAAAACCTAAGTAAGAATGGCATGATTTTATGAATGAAAAAACAACTACTGTGGCTTGAGTACTACTGATGAAAGTAACAATTTACAACCTAGAACTATTTACTATTTACACAAATTCACCACCATCTTCAATAAGCTAGTACTTTTCGATATTATAAAAAAAAGTTCACAATGACAAAAGTCAATACTAATCAAGTGAACTGATCCATATCCAAATCTATAACCTCCTGCACAGTGAGATCTTGTTTCAAAAACAAAAATAAACACAACAGTAAAACAGTCTTATGACAGATGCTCATTTCTCAGTAGCCCTCCATCCTGCTGCTGTAAGAGTAGATTATATGCATTACAGCCTACCATACAACTAAATCATTTTACCTTTTCATTTTTATGTAAAGGCAAAATAATGCAGGCTTCCCTCCTTAACTAATAGTAATAAACTAATGTGTCTATTTCCCTGCATTGTATCATTTATATTCTAATATCTTATTAGACTCTAGTGAAGCAATAAACTCCTGAATAATGTTCTTTCATAAACAGTTTAGAATAATGTAGAATTTCAATCAACCTTTTTTTTTTTTTTTTTTTTTTTTGGTTTTTCGAGACAGGGTTTCTCTGTGGAGCCTGTCCTGGAACTAGCTCTGTAGACCAGGCTGGTCTCGAACTCACAGAGATCCGCCTGTCTCTGCCTCCCGAGTGCTGGGATTAAAGGTGTTCAATCAACCTTATTAAGAGTACATATTAAATAATTGCTCTTAAGATGTCAAAGAAGCAAACTGAAGCTGTACTATTTCATTCTAGCATCAGTTTAGAGCGAAGCTAACGCCGGGGCTGGACAGCCAGCCTGCAGGTGGATTCGTTACTGACGTTGTGAGGCACTGGGGGCTGACCCAAGTGCATATGTGCTGGAAACTCTCACCGAGCTCTGCCCTGGATCCTCTTCTAATCTGAGGTGGAAACTCACTGCCTTCACCAGACTGACCTTGGTACACTCTGTAACCTAGGCAAGACTTGAATTTATCATCCTCCTGCCTCAGCTTCCCTAGCAGCTAGGATCTCAGGCCCGCACCACCAGGTTTGGTTCTAATTTTATATATCTGTTAAGGATGGTAATGACTGGCCAGACACAGTGACACACACCTTTAATCCCAACACTGGGAGGTAGAGGCAGGTACATCTCTGAGTTTGAAGACAGCCAGGCTATATAGTTAGACCCTCTCTAAAAAGAAGAGGGGATAACATGATGAGAAATTATGTGTTTATTATAGTCTCAAAAGATCTCCTGAAATAATATCTACTCGTTGCTTATTAATAAACATGGAATAATTATTAATCAGCAGTGTAGTAGAAAAATCAGACCGATTCTAACTAAACCAAGTGACAAAAGTTAACGTAGTCAAAAATGACGGAAATGGGCAATGCCTTAGGATGTAGCCTCACTGCTGTTATATTCTTGCCCCAAAACACATACATCATGAGGAAAGAGCAGACAACCCAGATCGAAGGAACAGCTGTCTTAGCCTCTTAAAAATGTCAATGACACGAAAGACAATAAAAAGTTGAAGAACTTTTGGGATTTAGTGAGACAATGATACAGAAAGGGTCATAATCCTGGGCTGACTTCAGAACCTCTAAATGGCATTACTATGACAAATGCATAGCCAGATCCTTAGGTAATACTGTATCAATGCTGATTTCAAATAGCAACTGCAGAGAAAACTACCTCTTTTCAGGAAATACTCAAAAACCTATTAAAAGATACTATAGCATCGTGTCTGTAACATATTTTTTGAAATGTTTCAGAAATACTAAGAGATCTGCCAAACCTAGGAGAAAGGTAAATGGGAGAATATACTATTCTAATGTCCATAAATATCCAAAACTATTCAAAAATATAATTTTTGAAGTTTACTTTTTAAAGGCAATAATTCATCAGTTAACATTTTTATGTTTGCTTATTCTGTCTACTTGGAATTTGCCACTGAACTCCAATCTGCAAATTTATCCAGGAGTGATTCATCTTTAAATATACAAGGAACTTACTGAGGCCTTAAGGAAAAGAAATCACAATTAAAAACCAGAAATAACTTTGTCCTTCTCATCAGTTAACCTGACAACTTAGGAAAGAGAAAATAAGTAAGACTGCAATACACTGCCCTGTACGAATCACCTGCATCACCCGACAACCAGATGTCTTAAAAACAAGATGACGCTGAGTGAGGAGCTCAGCCTCAGACTGCTTGCCTAGTGCATATGAGGCCCCAGGTGTCACTTTAAATAGCTGTTTTCTTAAAAATTGTATTCTCTTAATCTCTATTTTTATTCACAAATTAAGTATGAATTATTCAGCTTGCTCAACATTTTTTTTGAATTTGTTAGAAGCATTAATGTCATTCACATTGGATAACAGCCTACTTCTGTGGAAGGAATCAGCAACTGCATATTTATTTGTTTTGCACCCACCCCAACCCTCTGCAAGTTTCACAACTGTGGCTTTCTTTACATTTCTACATTTCTTTAAATGCACTTTTAAAACTCTAATCTCAACAGACCTCTAATATATACAGTTGTATATATTTTTAAAATGATAATGTGCGCACATGTGCATGACCACGTGCATACAGAGGCTGAGAGAGAGCACAATATCCCTTGGCGCTGGAGTCATGGGAGGCTGTGAGCTGCCTGATATAGGTGCTGGGGACCTGAACTTGGTTTTATGCATGAACCGTGTGTCTTCCTGTTAACCTCTGGGCCACCTCTCCTGTCTGAGATTACCTTTGATGTATGTGTTTCCTTCTAACTGCCCCATTAGCCTTTAGGCTAAGAGAACAATTTGACCAACCAAATTGAGGGCTTTGGGATTTTTTTCTTTTTCGTTTTCTTTTCTCTCTCTCTCTCTCTCTCTCTCTCTCTCTCTCTCTCTCTCTCTCTCTCTTTCCTGTTGTTGTTGTGTTCTTGAGACAGGGTTTCTCTGTGAAGCCCTGGCTGTCCTGGAACCCACTCTGTAGACCAGGCTAGCCTCAAACTCCCAGAGATCTGCCTTTCTCTACCTCTGTCTCCCAAGTGCTGCAATTAAAGGCGTGTGCCACCACCGCCCAGCTGAGTTTTCATTATCATTTTGTTTTAAATGAGTCTTTTGCTACTAAATGTCTGTGCACCACATGCATGCCTGGTGCCTGCAGAAGCCAGAAGAGGGTGTCATGTCAGATCCCTTGGAACTGGAGTCACAGTCCCTTTTGAGCCCCATGTGGGTGATGGGGACTGGAGCTCTAGAGGAGCCAGTACTCTCCCTTCTCTCCAGCACACCCCACACCCACGGCATTTTACTACAACTCTTTCCTGCTCACTGCTCTTCTCCAAACAGCTCAGATGTTCCTGTCTTTTCTACCAATTCTCTCATTTTCAATGCCAACATCACTTTTATAAATCTCGGAGTATACACTATAGTCACTGTTTCTCTAGCAATTTCAGTAAATAAAATTAGAACAGTCCCTTTTACAACAAATAGAGCCTGGTCATTTCTCTCCCCAGGATAAGTTAAAATAGTTCTTACCTAATTCATAGAGATGCCCATCTACATGAACTAACGCAATAAAATGAAGATCTACTTTCTCATCTATACTTGGTGCCTGGAATAGGAGGGAAAAATATATTATGTACATTAGTAGCTAAGCAAATCAATCAAGTACAAATAAGTGTATATAAATAATATAAAATGACAGAAGACAACATTTATCCAGTATAATTCAAGGCCAATTACTGATGGGATGCAGAGAATGACCACGTGATATTTATGACACCATGTTCATCATCAACAGTAAAACACATCACTTAGTCTCACCCAGTGTGGAAACTGAACATTTTGTTTAACTTGAATTCACACTGTCAGCATAAGATGCTGTGCATGTGCACAGCATATGGACAATGTATACTGCTCACTGAAATGAATGACTGAGCTGATTTAAACTTCAAAATATAAATGTTAAGACATTTTTCTTAATTCTTGAAGTTAGAAACTCTTTTGAAGTTAAATTTTAGGACACCAGAAAGTGAGCTGTCTGTTGTTTGAACTTAAAAATCTCATGCTTTGAACAATGCAGTATAAACAATCATTCTAGATTCAGGAAGTTTTAAATAAATAGATGAAGGAAATAGTCCTAATGATTACGAATGGAGAAAAGAAAAACTAACATACAATAAACTGTAACCTGTATTTCTTTCTTTTCTTTAACTCTTAATGAACAACTTGCTATTTAAACTATACCTCCATTTCCTTAGCTTACCAAACTCAATTGACACAAGCAATATTCACATTTCCTAGACAATTGAATTCACTTAGGTAAAGTTAATATACAAACTGGCATTTTATGATATGTAGTAAATATACTAGTTATTTACCAAATCTAAATAAAATGAAGTGCAATCACAGCTAAATACATGTGGAACTTCAATTGTAGGAAGCAAAAATTTCCAAGTAGCTTAAATCAAATTTTGTTTTATATTACCTATTTTAGTAACACAGTATTTTATAACTCAAAGGCTGTTATTTTCACCTTCAAATAACTATATATCTTTCAATAGTTTAATGTAAATACTTTTGATGCAGAAATTAAAGTTGCAGAAAAACCATTACTTTTTTATTCCGTAAGGCATACAGAATGCCTCTACGTGTTTACTGGCATGATGACTTAATCTTATTCTTCTGAAATTATTTCCCTTGAGCTTTGAATGAAACAAAGTTTTCAGAAACTGATATGCAAACTAATTCTCATTCATTTCAGTCCAGACATAAGAATTTCACAGTCGGTATAAATTTATCACCACCCATTACTCCTCTTTACTACAAGCCCTCTAATCACAGGAACTGTCGTTACATTTGGACTATTCCACTAACATGACAGTTTCGTAGAGTCATGCTTTTTTTTTTAAGAATTATTTATTATGTATGCAACATTCCTTCCATGTATGTCTGCATGCCAGAAGAGGGCACCAGATCTCATTACAGATGGCTGAGAGCCACCATGTGGTTGCTGGGAATTGAACTCAGGACCTCTGGAAGAGCAGTCAGTGCTCTTAACCGCTGAACCATCTCTCCAGCCCTGAGTCATGTTTCATATTGAGCCTAAAACATGTCTTGTGTTTTCCATTATGCTGGACAAAAGCCTAACCATTCTTGAATCTAATAGTTCTACAAATATTTAAAGTCAGTGATAATAAATGTCTTTACTTCTCTGTCAAAAACATATTTGTGATTACTCAATCTTGTATTATTTTATCAGTGACTAGGAGAGAATCTGGTCTTTTCAAGACTGAGCCAAGGCAAACCATTTATAAATTCATTAAAAAACAGAAATGCTACAAGGAATTCCTTAACTGAGACTATCAAGTATCTGAAGTCTTTGAGACATTATTTCATTCAGACACTGATATGCAAACTAATTCTCATTCATTTGAACAATTTCCCTTAATAACTAAACATCATATAGCCTCCATTTTTCATATTTGCCAATAAGGTGGAAGGTCGCTAGAGTTTAAAAAAAATCTTCCGCTGGAGTTGGGGACTTGAATGCGCACCCAATACCTGGGAGCTCATCTGTTTTGAGGTTTAAATGATTATTGAGCTTAGAGTTGTAGCTGAGTGCACTGGGATTTTAAGAACTCCGTGTACCACAGGCATGCAGTGCCTGTATGCATGTCTGTGTACCACATGCATGCAGTGCCTGTATGCAGTCCGTGTACCACATTCATTCAGTGCCTGTATGCATGTCTGTGTACCACATGCATGCACTGCCTCCAGATGTCAGAAGGGAGTGTCTGATTCCCTGGCTGGAATTATAGAAGGTTGTGAGCCACCATGTGGGTACTGTGAATTGAACCCCAGTTTTTGAAACTGTAACCTGTGTTCTTAACCAGTGAGCCATTTCTCCAGCCCCACCCCCTTGAAGTTTAAATGCACGTGTGAAAATATTTGTGAACTGTTAAACACTATATAAACCTTACATATTGTTATAATATTAATACATCATCACAACTGTAAGGAAGTACCAAATCTAATGAAGCAAAATATGTGCAATGTCCCTTTTTAAGTAAAAGTGAACATTAAAATCCAAATCTCAAGCCAGGAGTGCTGGCACATGCCTATAATCGCAGCACTTAACAAGCTAAGGCTGAACGATCAAGACTTTGAGGCTAGTCTGAGTAGCACAGCCAAGATCCTGTCTTAAAACAAAAAGCAGTAGGAAAAGCCTTCCAACTTGTCATAATAGGTAAATGTTTCAACTTTCCTGAAAACCTCATTATTTCTGGTAAGCTTTATCCTTTGACCAATCCCATTAGTCTGAGAGTCTAATGTCTGCAATCATTCTACTGCCCAACAAGTATTCCAGGAAACCCAAGAGTAAGCAAGCAGAAAATTCCAGCATGTCTTCCTGTTTAAAAATAGTCAGCAAATAACTACAGCACATATGAAAAACAGAAGCTATAGATTGGTAAGGCTTGCCTACTTTCTTCTATCTTCTAAATCCTCAATTTAGAAGGTTTCTCATTAATCCCAAAGAACTAAAAAGTGATATAATCAATGCATTCATTAATTACTAAATATAAATTTCACATCAGAAAAAGGTTTAAGGTATAATCATAGGGCACTTCATCTATACCAGGTACTGATGGGATGCTGTATTTGTATTGGTCAATTAATCAGACAACTCCAGTCAGGTAGCTTTATATGCTCATATGCATCTTACACTCAAGAACACAGAGTAAAAAGGTAACACATCTTAGTAACACATTTGAATGGCTAGCAAGTGATGGCCCCTGGACGACAACCCATGCAGTGCAGCTCCAGTCCACGTTCTTAAGCACTAAGTATGCTATGGAAACATTTACAAAGTGATAAGGCAATGAAATTAATATGCAGCAACAAACAACAATACACAAAAACAAAACTGCAAATGCTAAATAACATGCTCGTTTATAAGTTTTAAATACAGAAAGAATTATTCATACATAGAATTAAGAGAACTGTTCCCCGGTCAGAATGCATTAGACTCTACTCTGTTCTAATTCACCTTTATCTCGAACTATGTCAACAGTGCATAGCGCAGTGGAGAAGCACACATATCAAATGGATGAATAAATAAAAAGGACAAATGAATGTTGTAATCTGGTTAGGAGACGAGAGGGAGAAAGAGGGAGAGGGAGAGAAAGAGAGAGAGAGAGAAAAAGAGAGAGAGAGAGAGAGAGAGAGAGAGAGAGAGAGAGAGAGAGAGAGGAATAATAAGCAGTCTGTTGATATTCAGCATAAATGGAAACTATGTGATGACCACACTGATATTCGGTGGAAGCAAAGGATAAAGAAAACTGCTGCGTTTGAAGATAGCTTTAAAAGGGTAAATGAGGGGGGAAGAAAGGGTATTTGACATTTAGCTGCTTTTAAATGCTACAATGTATGCATATTTTGACTTCCTCTTGCTTCAAATGCTGCAATGAGTTATAGAAATTAACAAGTTTCTATGATGCTTGGCACACACTAAAGCTTTCAGACATGGCATTTCTAGGTGGGCTCTGTCAAACCACAGCCATTGCCTTCAGTAGCTTAGAACATCACAAAGACAAGAGCTTGGTTGCTTCATTCTGTAGTTTATTTTAATGTCTGAGAACTACTGGAATTCTATCACCTTGGATATTTAAGGCCTTATGTATATGCATATTATAATAGTTGGCTGATACTTTTAGATTACGAGAGAAGTAAAATTTGTAGGACACCTATATTAATACACAAGGAGCAAATCTCCATCTCTTACTTGGAAAAGATCTTTTCAAACTGAGTTGGCAAGAAAGATTGGATCAAGATTAAACCAAGTACCTGAGCCACATCAAGGAGTAAAATAGCTTAGATGCAACACGCTACACCATGGAGGATTTAGATTGAGAACAGAGTAAGTAAAGTGACCCAAAGCATAGCAAAAGACTAGTCATGCTCAGAAATATGAAAAAAAAATAATAATAAAGGAATCGATGGTGAAGAACTCAGAGGGTACACAGCATTTATTCACCTAACTTACCTAAGTGAAATCAGAAAGCCGAAGGGTAAGGAAACAGGCACTCACTTTAACAATTCATAGGAACTTAGTGTTCTCACAATGCCAATCAGTATTCATCAACAGGCACGTACCCTTACATTCACAGGATATGGAGCGGAAAGATGGATGTTCACCAAGGCATGGGCAAACGTCAAGCAAGACTGCAGAGCATGGAGGTTTGCTTGCAATCTTATTGGAGTAGAAAAAGCTAATAATGGTTGAGTGAACCAAGAGAAAAGCACTTTAAAGACTGAAGACGTTTAAGGAAAAACAAACACACAAACAAAAAGACTGCCCTTGTCACTGGGAGAAGAGATGGAAGATTGACTACACTTACAACAGAATGGAGACCCAAAGATGGTAGGCGTAAGAAGGGTCGCCAGCGACGAAGACGGAGAGATGGACTGGTAGCCTTTGCAGGGCCTACATGGTTACGTTTGACCCAGGGCAGGGATGCATGGTGACACAGTGATGAGGCCTTCGCTCTGCAGTGGCTAGAATGAGGCTGGGATGAGGATGGCGAGGAGGACTACATAATTAAAAGAGAGAATACTTTACTTAGACCACGTTACTGGGTTGATCATTTATCCTTAAAAGCAACGTATGGTCATACTTGTATTCATATGGTCGAGTACTTTTAATAATTGTATTCTAGTAAAGGATCACGTATGAATGTTGCTTAAAGTGGGTAAAGTGGGTATTTATAATAAGCACAAGGTTGTTACATAACTTTTTAAGTGCACATCTGAAAATTTACATATCCTCATTTTCATTGCACAGACTCATAAAACTAAAGATTTAAAAGCCACTAAAATAGTATCACTATATATATACACATATATATGGCTTTAAAAATGTAACACAAAATCCATGAAACATAGACAAGTCACATAAAGAACAAAAGTAGAAAGAAAACCAAACCATAATAGGCATTGGTAAAAACAATTATTTAGAGAGTATAAACTCGAATGAGAGGAAATAAACCCTAAAAATTATAAACAAGAGTAAAGCTAACCCCTCTGGAGGTGATGGCCTCAATCATCTGACAACCCTCGGTATTAGCTGACAAGTTACAGGAAGACATTATAGCCTCTTCCCATCTTGTAAGTGAACAGGAACATTACACAAAATGTGCACCCTTTACTTTACGTCAGGTACTCTCTGAAGCGCTACATATCTATCAGTTCACAGTCTCCTAGGAGCCTATGGGATCATTACAACTATACTCGTATCTTCCAGTCAGAGAGCGCAAGTGGGGGAAGTGACAGAACCTCAGTCATGCGGGCAGCACGCTGAAGGACTGTAGCTAAACCCAAGAGATGAGACCTACAGCTCAGTGGTCTGGGTCACCAGCACAGGGCCTACGTGGCCAAGAGAAAGGCTCTGGTGCCAGCTTTTATTAGTTACAGTGAGCCAGGTGTTAACTGTCTTAAGATAGATACTGGGGGATAACTTCCCAAATGCTCTTGTTCCACAAAACATACGTAGAGGATGTAAAACTGACTTATCAGCGGTAATCCAGTTAGCTTTAAATTGTCGCTTTCAACAGACACAACAGTGTTTGTGATTTATGTCTAATCCGACAAAGCCATCACCAGTCTAACTACAGTGAGAAGAAATAAAAAGGACAGAGTCCTCAGTTCTTTGGTGATAACATATTACAACAGCATTAGGAAAGTGACTTTAGCTTGAAATGATCTCTAAAACTCTTCAGACCCTTAACAATCTATAATCTGTGTTGGTACTCTTGATCTATGTGAGCTACATGCTAGCCTAGAACAAAACAGTCATTTTTCGAGGTTTAAGAAAAGTTCATCTTATCAGTTAGCATTTATAATATTAACCATCCACCAAAAATATATAAAAGAATTCTATACTTGACTCCATATGGGAATAAAGGTGAATATAATAATGTCTGTTCTCATTGACTGATGTATTCAATCTGAGTTTATTCAAATGGGAGGCAAAGGGAAGAAGAGAAAAGGCAAATTAGTGGAAGGGGGAAATGGAGTAAAGAGTGAGACGGAGGGACAGACTAAAGAGTAGTAGAGACGGACAAAGAACCATCCCAGAGTTACACAGCAACATAATGGCGGGAGGCTGTAGAGATGAAATGGAAAAAGGTATTCTGCAAGAATTCACAGTGAAAAACACACAACAAATAGGGACAAGTAGAACATATTCAAGAATAGGTCTGGGAATTGATTTTTACCTTTCAATCTAACAGGTTAAGTGTTATTTTTCCATGACGCTGGCAAAAGACATGGGATTTCTAGGTTAGATATAATTTTCCTATTCATAGCACAAGGGGGATTCACAGTCTATGTGCAGTCACAGGAGGACACAAAGAGGACCAAGAAGAATGCTAGATGCGCAGTAGGCTGCATGGCAAGAGAGGAATGCTAAGTTGGAGGAGGCTGCTGTTCCGCAGCAGGCAGTAGGCAAAGAAGCACTCTGTCCTAGAGGCCGGCACACTCTCATTCCTTTAAGCTGCTGACTACATGCACACCTTTAGGTATTAATGGCTTCACTCTTACATTTTCTAAAACAATTTTAGAGCATTTGTTTTTGTGACTTCAAATTTACCAAGTTACAAGAACACAAATGATACAGGAGAATCCAGATAGGCCTTTGATGCTCCACATGCTTTATCATTTGTACTTAGCACCGTCGTCCCTCATAACTCTTCTTCCTGAGACTAGCTGAGAGTGAATAACACCCAGTTATTGTATGGTAGCCAGTATTTTCACCCATAAGCAAAAATATCTCTTTATATTAATGAAGGAATGGCTCCAGAAATGCTGATATAGAAAACTCTGTGGATACTCAAATCTCTAATGCAAAATCTTATAACAGTGCTTCCATATAACCTGCATGCATGCACATACTCAGTCACCTCAATTACTTCTTACAACACCCCAAACAATACCAACCCATGGAAAGTTATTGTACTGTACCATTTAGAGAATAATGACAAAAATGTCTGCAGATCTTTAGCGCGCACTTTGGTGGCGGGGAGGGGACTCAAAACAGGGTTTCACTGTGTTTAAGGACTGCATGTCCTTAAACTCACAGAGATCCACCTGCCTCTGCCTCCCAAGAGCTGGGATTAAAGTCATGCACCACCACTACCTGGCAACAGGCACACTTTTAATGTATGTTTTTGTTAATTGTGTGTGTGACCGTGTGTTATGCACAAGCTCAGGCACAAGGGTGCAGGTACCTCTGGAGGTCAGAAGGCGGCATCAGATCTCTTGGAACTGGAGTTAATGCTTGGTTGTGAGACATCTGAATTGGGTTCTGGGAATCAAACTTAGGCCCTCTGGAAAAGTAGTACACTTTCTTAGCCCCTAAATCATCTCTTTAGCTCTGAGGCACATATTTTTGAAAATTATTTTTGATCTACAGTTGACTGAAACTATACAGTAGATGTGATTAATATAGAAGGTCAACTAAGTAGAAATCAAGGAAACCTCGCAGTCATAATGCAATTATCACCCATGCTTCTGAACTAGCACAATACTTCTGTCTAATTTCCACCTCACATGTTAATTTTATTGTCTTCCAAGGTCTGCAGGAGGCTGGGCAGGGGGGCACAGACCTGTATTGCCGCAGGAGGATCACTTGAGTTCAGAAGTTCTGGGTGTCCATGTGCTATGCTGACACGATGTGCACACTAAATTTGGGATTGATATGGTGACTTCCCCAGACTGAAGCACCACCAGCTTCTCTAAGGAGGGTCAGAAATGGAACAGACAGGGACTAGCAGGGAATTCATAATTTATTATGGTTCTTTAGGAATCATTTGATCTGTAACATTTCCAGCAGTCTTTGTCTTTACAACATGCTAACATTTTCTAAAAATAATATTTTTTTAAATTTTGAATTGTGTGTGTCTCTATATGTACATGGCACTTGTTTCCTACAGATATCAGAAGGTCTTGGATACCTGGAGCAAGAGTTACAGGTAGGTACTGGGAACCAAAACTGACTCCTTTCAAAGAATGGTAAACACTCTCAGCCACAGGGCCATCATCTCTCCAGTTCCTTTCCTATTTTTTAATGGCCATCTTTCTGTGCATTTTATTTAAAATGACCATCTTGTAAACATATACTTGAGTCATGTTTTCTTTTTTTTTTCTTTTTGATTAACTCTATTTATAAAATGAAAACTCCTATCACAATACTTTTTACTAGAAAAAATAAATAGAACAGACATTGGATCTATTCAAAGTACATATTCACTTTGGTAGACTTCAGTGTAGGACAGTTCATCACAAGCACATTTGCCCTTAGTCCCCCAGAGCCAATCAGCTTCCAAGCCAATGGTTAATCATTTTTAACAGATTTTATAGTGTTGATATCTAGCTCATTCTACATCATCTTCAGCCAAGCTCTGAGCACTTACAGTGCTCTGACTAATGGCTGGAAGCTTGGTCAGAAGTATCTGGAACCCTGGTGGTAGAAGAGTCTGCCGTAACACTTGTAGCAGCTCTGAGGCTGTCCCACCAAGTCATGTTTTTCAACCAAGATGATAATCTTTCTTCCAATTTACATGTCTACATTTAAATGACTTACATTTTATTAACTGCATGTCATTTTCCCCCTGCGGTTGGATTATAAGCTATATTGTTAATTCTGTTTTCTCCGTTTATTCTTTGTTCCATGGTGCCTTTAAAAATTATTTTTGTTCTCGATTCTACTTATGTTTACCATGGTATGCTTATAAATAAAAAAAAACTTTTAGCAACTGTCTTAGACTTTATTGTTAAATTTCTTTAGTCACGGTGTTCTTTTGTTGTTATTGCTGTATGGTTTTTGAAGATAGGGTTTCTCCGTGTAGCCCTGGCTGTCCTGGAACTTGCTCTGTAGACCAACTCAGAAATTCACCTGTCTTTGCCTCCCGAATGCTGGGACTAAAGGCATGGGCCACCACCCGGCTGCTGTGTTCTTCAAATAAAAGCACACAACTTGATCCACACTATTGGAACATCACAGCAGTATTATCGAAATATTTTCTTCCATTCTTTGTATTATCATCAAATATTTTTACATATGGTATAGACTTCCAATATGTGGTTACTGTTTATTTAGACAACTTATTCTTCATTTTTGCTTTGGAGATAAGGTCTCACAATAAAGCCCAAGTTGGCCTCACATTTGAGATGCTCCTGCCTCAGCCTCCTGGGATACAGGTGAGTGCCACTGTGCCTGGCTGCACAATTACATTTTAGTGCAATTAAAAGAAAAAAATGTAGCTGGAAAGATGGCTCAGGTGTCAATACCTACTACTCTTGTTCAATTCCCAGCACCCACATCAGACAGTTCACAACCACCTGTGATTCTAGCTCCAGTGGGACCTGATGCCGTGGCTACTGCAGGCAGCTGCACCCACGTGCACATACGTGTACACACACACACAGTTAAGAATAAAAATAGATTTTAAGAAATACATTTTAATTACCTTTCCTTGTCCCATCTCCAGTACTTGCCGATTTCTGCATAGGGCCCATTATTCCTGCTGTCACA